GGTATCTCAGGCAAGTAAATACTTTCCAAGTCGTATTAAAGTAGCTGGATGAGCATTCTCTAGAGTCGATATGGCACAACATAGACTGACTTTTGACGATTAATACCAATGGCTTGCAATCCGTATATACAGTAGTCTTTTGCCCGAAAATGTAGTGGTTGTAGTGTTCTACCGAATATGTACTTGCAAACATCTCCTTCACATTTTGTGCATAACGACGTTCAACTAGTGTCAAACCCTATCACAAAAACCCAAAGATTGTCCGTTTAGCCTTAGTGCCGCGGCCATTTCACGGTAACTGCTACCGTACTGTATCTCAAGAGGCAGAGATACATCAAAATAAGCGAGTATTAAAACAGTCACGATCAGACATTTTAATTGAGTGAAAGCTTTTTCCCGCGCATTGCCCCAGTGCCAGTCTTCTCATTTGTGTAGCAGTTTGCGTGTAGGCGTTATTTTTTCTGTCATTCTTGGTAAATGCGACTCAGATAGCTGACCATTCCGTTTAACCGAATGACTCCTTTCATGCCAGTAAGGAGAGATATTTCTTTTATTGTCCTGACGTTTCTCCAATCAAATTCCAATCCATCTGAGCTCAACATGTGTCCGTGAAATACTACCACTGCGTTGTGAAATTCGACTTTGTCACCTTTTAAGTTAATCTTTTTGTCAGTGCCTCTCTGGAGAAACTGATCGCGATTGCGGCCGTGCTCTTCTATAGTGGAACCGAGTATCAGTACATTGTTAGCCACATAAATGGTTTCTGGCAGAGCAAGAGCTTGTAACATACGTTTTTGGAGTATTTCATTACAATATTTCAAACCGAATTGTAACCGTAGTCACCAGAATCTACCAAATGGTGTACAGAATGTCGTCTTAGTGCTCAATTTTTCATGCAACAGGACTTGTCAAAATACATCTTTTGAAGAGCCTTGCTGTTGCTACTACTGGCAATATATCATCTAATGTTGGTAGGCTGTAGCGCGTTTTGCTAAGAGCGGGTTTAGGCGGTTTTGGATCGACACACACCCGTAAATCACCGGAGTTCTTAGTAATAATTGCTACTTGTCTGATCCAACCTGTGGGTTCGTCAACCTTGGTTAGAATTTCGAGTGAAGCTAGGCGCTCCAAACCTTGCGAAAATCTTACGCACAGCGCTACTAGTAATTTCTAGCTGACAAGAACATCGGTGCAGCATACTCATTTAGCGATAGATGTGCGCAGTCCTCGAACGCCACAATCCTTCGACTGATGAACAATATCCATAGCTAACTGCTACGAGTGTACAAAGTGATGCCGACTAAAGGAATCGAAACCAGCTCACTGACTGGAATCAACACCCACGTTGAAAAAACAGCTCCCTATACGACGACAAAAGTGAGCTGATGGCTAGTTTCATCTTTCGGAATGATGATGTTCAGCGTGACACTGCGCTACTGATGGAATTTTAAAACAGTGTTGTGCTTTGTCAGACTGCACCCGAACAGTGTTTAGCCGATAAAATGTTGACCGTGGCCCATGTAATTAACTGGGAACGTACATGATGTTTTCCGACAATCAGAGAGCCATATACGCCTTTTTATCACCATGACGCTTCATGTTACTTATGACAAGTTCCTGCGTGGCTAATACGTTGTTGTAGTCAACTGAATACATGTTGTTTGATCGGTGACGTCTCGCAAAGTGATAGTTCTTTGAGCTTTTTATGCAGCTCTCACCTCAAGCGGGACGCTTTCTTTCGGGGATTATGACTGCGACCACAGTACTGTCAGTTAGGTCTACGAGTTGGAGCAGTCGGCAGCATCGCATACTTGGGCTAAGAAATAGCTCTTAGTTCAGCGAGTGTGGGAGGCTTTACCTGGCGATATTTGAATACTTTTACCACTTCGCTGTTACTAATGTTGATACATTGGTCCAGCGTAGGGTTTCCATGTTGCAGTAAGTTTCGAGTATCGTTCTCATCCCGAATACCCAGTACAATTTGAGCACTCACAGCGAATCGCGTAGGCGCTCACAAAAGTTGCATGTGTTCGCTGACAAGTTCAGCTCTGCTACGTAGTTATTGACTGATGCACCTGAAATCGAACTCGACTAAAAAATAAGTGGCGTTGGTAGGTGTTGCCAGGCCTACCTTTACAGAAGTTAGCAAAAGTTTAAAGTAAAGCGCTCAAACAGAGTTTTGGATGTTTGTCAACCAAAGTGACTGTCTCCAGCATATGCATCGCTTCATTGCCAACTGCTAATCAACCGGCTGATTGTACATCTGCGCAAGGGTAGCGAAATTCATGCATTTGGCTTTCCACGGGCGCCAGCTTTAAGGAAGAAGACGCTCAGTCACCTGCAACAGAGTCAGCATCGTGATACATGGCTACCAAACAAAACAAACCCGCTGCTTACTTAACGTTTCCTACTTTTGCTTTGTTACCATGTCTAGTAGCGCCCTAGAAAATCAAAAAGGAAGGTTGGACTGCAATCAAAAGCGATTTGGATCAGAACGCAACGTATTATTTATGGGTGACCTACGTCCTGTTGAGAGATCCCGGTTTACTCTTCCTTGATTGGCTGTCTGTCAAAAACTTAGCACTGACCGAGCCAGTTGGTCGTGCGACCTCACAAAGCGCAGCCCGCTTAAGCGTGTAGGCGTTGCTGCTCAATTGATGATGGATGATTGATCAAGCAGCCTCTTGCCTGTCCGTTGGGAATACTTAGGCGAACACAAACAACTGCTATTAGCACGCACATACCACAGCAACTAAAATGTAGATGATCTAATACACTTATCTAAGACTGTACAAAAGTGGAGCCATCGGAGTGTTGGTTACCGATCATCAAGGTCGTCTGCGCAGTAGGCCATATAACGTATCGCTTTAAGTTCCGGAGTATGTGATCTAGTAACATTGTCACTGTATTATCCATATGTATCACCGTAGAAATAGTCAATGTTCCTCAGAATACTTAAATATCTAAAGGTTAAGAAGGCCATCATCCAAGGTTACTTTTAACTTCTCTCGCGATCAGCAATGTTCAGAGCACCATCATACTTTGCCTTTGAGAATATCGTTATACTAGTCGTGTCTGAATTGAATACACAATTCAATTCAGGTGATCCCTCTTATCCGCAGAGTTTTTATCAATGAAGGGTATACTAAAAGTTTTCATCTTTTTAGAACTCTCTTATAAGTTACTGTCAAGGTAGAGTGAGTGCGCGTAGAAATCTCTTTCCTTAGTCCCTCACAATAGATGGAAGATGTTAGAATGTATTTCTCTTTCTGTAACTTGTAATGATTAACATCATAGGCGATACTGTGCCCTCTGAATGTTTAGAGTAAGTCAGCTTTGACCAATCGGAAAATTTAAAATGCGGCGACATAGTTCGAGTAATTTCATACCTACCACAAAGAAGCGCTTCCAAACTGGTTAACTCAAGACAATGCAGTTTGATAAACACTTTGAACCAGTAAAGTTCATAGTGTTGTTGCAAAAGTTAATGATGAAACCGCTTTTACTTTATAGGGTCTCGGCCAAAGTAGCAACATAGCCTTGCCACGAACGAAGCCAAACCCCTGTAAAAGTATTTTTGAAAAACAAAAAAACAAAAGTGATTACCGCATGAACAGTAACAGCCAAAGTTGCGGAACGTTAGCCTATCCGTCAATTGTAAACAGAAAAGCACGGCAGTGAGACGGGTTTGGCCGTGCAAAATAATGGAAGGAGCACTACAACATGATGATAACAAAAGTGACTGCCCACGTAAAATATTTTGCAATGTGGTTGTTTGGTGGTAAATATTTGGTAAGAAACCCACGGTGTTTGCAAGAGATTACATGTTTATCACAATGGACTGATTGTTGTTGTTAAGCGTCCAGTGATTACCCATCATACTGTGGGTTATAGATAACAATGCAATGAGTTGAGAAAAGCCTACGGGTAGACACTTGAAAGGACCGGACATGTTCCTACCCTTTATCTAAACTAGGTCATTGTGTTCAGTTACATACTTGATTACAGACTACGCCTAGCCTAATGGAACAGAGAGGTAATTGTCAAATTTTTCAGCATCTAAATTAGCGTACCTAAACTCCATTTAATCAATCACTTTCATATATCATGCTGGTAATTAATGTGAATTTTGCAGATGCTCTTACCATTGACTTCACTGTTGTTGCGCTGTCATCACGAGCAAGTTCATTGCAATTCAATACACTTATCGTGCCTAGTGAATTGAAGTGAGTTGGGATAATCACAGCTAAAATTTAGTTACTTCATCCGGTTTTTCGGTGTGTGTGTGTGTGTGTGAAAGAACTGAAGAGTCAACCCTCACAAATGAGTTGGATTTCACTGTACATGATGTTAAATATTAAGGCAAACCGCATTATCAGTTTAACATGGTTAGACCAATTGCCTACATATATAAATCCAAGACATGACTGTAATGCAGGGACCATGACTTATCTCATAGTAAATAACGAAAGCTGCATGTGTTTCACCTTTAATTGATTTTCACTCTACGTTCATAGCCGATCTCATCTGCTGAAGGGGTTGACATGCCGAGATACGCCTATGCTTGGTTAAGACCTACTTAGTTCTAGTAGCACTTAGAATATAAAATGTTAGGAGCAAATATGCTTGTTGTTGGTAGAAATATTTAATTACTTGAAAATACGTGGAGGATATCTAGTTGTCCTCTATTTGTTAAAAAAGCATTAACGTTTTCAAGAGCCTATTAATACAAAAAATATCAGACCATTTGCTGCTAAGTACACATGTCAGAGTCAGCCAGTGAATAAAAGCAAACAAAGCAGAGGAAATAAAATTATCCGGAATGATTTTGGCTAACCTATCACCAGTTAGCAAGATAGATACACAAAAAATTACATCTGAAATCCGCAAAAGAGAGCTAGCCACAGGCTGAAGCATTAGTTCAACGGTAAGATTGGTAATCATGTATATTATGCTTTACAATTCCAACCTGTTAAGTTTAGTGAAGAATACGGGCTCACCAAATTTCATTGACTTCATAAGAGAAGTCGATCAGGGTGATGTGCTGAATGTAGATGAATATCAAAGCGCCAAAGATTCCAAGCACCATCCAAACTAAAAATAAACGGTTAAAAATGTAGACACTTTTTGTGTAGTCTTCCAAGAAAGGAAATGTATAGGCCATTATGTACATGAAGAGAAGGAAGCAGATCTTCCAAAGCCAGAAACTTAGGTGGAAAGTTAGAATAATCATCCAACTTACCCATTATGAATTCGCCCTCTAAATGTCTGACTAGAAGATACTTTGATTGTGACAAACGTCATAGTGAAATGAAAAGCGAACAACGGAAGACATAGCCGATATATGCCAACGAAACCTCTAAATCTCATACAATTGGGTCCACCATTGATATCATCACAGATGGAAAGTATTTGCTCCTTATACTATATAGTATGGTATAAAAGTAACTCATTGACCAACTTCGTCAAAAATAATACCCATTAAACCTCCATCATGAGAAGCCAGGGAAAGAAGAACAGTCAATAGCAGAATGATCGAGTACATCAAACGGGAAGCAGTAGATTCTCGAGTATTTCGAGCACATGGGATAAAGCAAGGTTTGGATCCGAATGCACATTCCAGTAATCGACAACAACTTGCCATCACCTATCCATAGTAAACTGCGGCTGCGGAATCAATAAGAAACAAGAACACAGCCAATTGTTTAAATAGGTAACTGCGAATAGCATGTTGGTTAGGGTACATTGCCATAAGTATCATATTATATGTGCACCTGAGTAATTGCATCTTAAACAGGCGCAAGCCAAAAATATTTAAAGTACATATTATTACTATAAATTCCAAGTGACAACAGCATACTTCTTGGTACAACTAATGACTTTTAGTTTCACCTCAACCATTGTAGCGCTCAGTGATGTTACACGTGCGATACGCGGCCTCGACGACTATATTACCATACAGATATCATTACTAATGATTAACGTGCTCCTAAAACAGTCTATCTGTGCTATTCAGCTGATACGTAAGTGTTGTGGTTCCTACTGATAACGCGCCCATTAATCAACTGACAATGTTAATTAAATGCGTGCTGCTGGAACGACCTACACAACTCGTCAAATTATAAATTCCAACACAACTGTTCCATGATTTACTTTATAAGCTTTAGTCTCGCTTTGTAAGTCTGTCAATGCACTAAATGCTTCCGACTATTCACACTACTAGTGTAGCATTTATTAGTATTTTGCCTAGTGTCTTGCTTATCGATAATTATATCACAACACATTTTGTACAGTTGGTTTGAATTAAGGATTACGAAAGACTGCATCGTTGTCCGCGTTTCGTCGGGCTGATTTTGGCGGTGCTGCTTCTGCGTGTGTACGGTGCCGTTCGAACTGCTTGAAAATCCGGTATTAGACGAGCAATTACCATGGAACTTTTACTTCAATCGTGCTTGCCGTGTGCCACAGATACAGCGCAATATAGGATTCGAAATCAACTGTGATTGCTAGCGGCCAATTCCTCTACACCGCGAACTTGGAATGCGCGTTGTAGACCAGCGAGTGGCGGGTATACAAAGTTTTAACTGCTTTATCATTCATTACTGCTTAACAACAAAGTATGTGAGCAGTTCTACGCGTTAATTGAGCTTTAAACAGCCCGTCAGCTTACATAACTGAGGGGTTTCTGCACATTAAGTGATTATTTTCTGTGTGCCTTCATGGTTAGTAAAGGTAAAATAAGCAATGTGGCACGTTGCCAATGTTTTACGAGTCCGAAATGAAGAAAGTGGCACGCAAAATAATCTGGAACGTCATGGTTCTCAGGCGTGTGTCTTGTTATTACATTCTGAGCTAGTATAAGGTGCGTGAACGACTTTGGAATGCATAGGCCTTCCTTAATGGCGCAGGCGTACGACTATTTTCAAGCATTAACTTTTGAGTATCAGCATTGAGCATTCGGCCATCGCCACCTTCGATGTATCAAACCAGTTTTAGTATAGGTTCTGCTGGAGTGAATAAAGACGTTGGGTGAAACCAAGATTGGAACTCGGGCGGCACGGCTGGCAGTTCGGCACACTGCCAATAGGCTATACTCGAGTTACATCTCCGTCTTAAATATGAGCTGAAAGACCGTAGGCATCGGCAAAGCAAAGGTTACATAAATAAGAGCTCCACACCAATTTTAAAGCTTTTATATCTACATTGGGCTACCTTTGGCACCACCTACGCAATCAGGTGACGGCTGCTGCCGAGAAGAGTGTCGGGCGCACAAACTGTAAGCGGCCCGGTTGGTTTGCTGAGCACAATGTGACGACGGGTGCATTGGTGTCTGAAAAGAAGGAATAATTTGCTGCACACGTAGCAGACCGCAGCGACTTGGGAAATAAGCGTGAGTTTCACAGATTTCCAAGACGGCTGACCCCAGAGCGTCGTCGCATTAATAATGCATGTGGTTCGGAGAAGAAGAAGCAGATAGAGCGCTACCCCGACCGCCGTAAACAGAAAGAATGCTTTGACTCACTGAAGGCGGTGTATGGCTTGGGGTTGGAGCGGCGGAGGACGCTGCTCGATGATACTTCAGGCGCTGCCTGCATACAGACTGCTGACTGCTGTGCCTCGTTAGATGTTGACCGCGGGTGCGCGTTCGTGTGTGTACTCCGCCTATGGGCCGTCTGCCGTATGCCTTGATTAACAACGATGTTGCGTTCATGTGCCGTCGAACGCCTTGCACTCCTTTTTGGTTTGAAGCGGTACTTGCCGTTTAGGGGGACAACCACCTTAAGCAAATACATTTATGCTCGATTTCAGCAGTTACTTCCTCAGTAGTTGCATAAATTAGTGACTAAAGGCGGTAGGAGAATTGTCCAATACCACTATGATTGGACTGTGGGTTGGGCACATGCATGTTTAAGGTTAGAGTTGAAAATGTGCTCAGTTAATGTGCGATAGAACAATAGGGTTGGCACTTAGGTTGAAATGAGAACGTATGCAATTGGCCATGTATGCGTGTATAGCCGTCTGTTGGGGAGTTCTAAACGCTTTCCTGCATTATCCATCATGTCGCAATTCACAAAACGGATGCTTCATGTTTGTGGACTTGAAGTGGTTGTCCGGAAAAACAATGCAGTACAGTCATTTCAGCGCTTCATTGACCAGGTCTTCCGCGGACAACACTTTGGTTTTGTCTACCTTGGCGTAGTCCTAATAACCAATGCCAATCCAGACGAGCACGGATCACTTGTACACATAACCAGCTAACCATTAAGCTTGATAAATGTCTACTTGCGTAATCGAGTGTTGCTTTTCTTGGCTACCAAATCGATAGCAAAGCCAGTAGTCTTATTCTTGAGAAAACTCATACAATTCCGGACTATCCACCGCTGCAAACAGTTGTAAACCTGCGCCCATTCTTTGGCATGGTTAACTTTGCATGGTTGGGTGGATTGGGTAACTTCACGCTGAACCCAGTTTGGTAGGTGTTCCTTCACTCGGGAATCTAAAACCCGTTCGGTCCTGCCGATGTAACTGATACCGCAGTCACACACGAATTGGTAGACACAATGGGATTTGGCGCCGACGGGTTCATCTTCCTTTACTGAAGGTAACGGCAACTTTCGGGTTCTGTTGATAATTACCGCCTCCGCAGCACAGTATGTACGCTGAATGGCCGAGACAATCCGTTTGGTTATCCTTTTCGTTGCAGTGTCACCCTTGAATGGGAGCTCAATGTACACCTTCTTTTTAGGGTCTGTCAACACCATCTCCTTGGGAGGTCTAACTTGGCTATGTTTGTCTATGAATCTCTTTGGGTAGCCATTCTCCATAAGTGTCTTAGTGACCAGCTCTAACTCTTCAGCCAGGCAGTCGTTGGAGCAGATACGTCTGGCCCGAGTAAATAATGTTTTTACTAGCGCGCGTCATACAATGCGAACACGTGGAACCATGCTCCACAACGGTCAATTGTCACTGGCGAATACGGTAGCGTGGCGGTACACAGTCAAGCGGAGACGTTTTAAGGACCGATGTGCTCCTTTCATATGCGTTAATTTCCACCTACTTACTTGATACCTTGCATGGTGGAGATGAACTAACATATGTGCATAAAACCAAATGTTGTTTCTTGAATAACTGGAACGCATTTTGCAGTTTACCGCGACTTTCTAAGATGTACAGTATAGTTTTATTGCAAATTTGCTTACCTCACATATGATTTAAATCACATTGTATAATCCTTGCTTATTAATATTTGTGATATGGTTTGATTGTATTTGCATGTTTTGCCTATCTTACATTTTTCCATATTGATATCTATATGTTTATCTATATCTATAAACACATGGATTTATAAATATATACGTAGATCTATTTTCATATCGGCGTAGTTTTTCAAATGCCTGATTAACCTATACATGTGTAGCATTGCATGTGCATGCGACTTGTGATTCGCAGTTACAACCCCTTTCATTTTATGGCAATTACCGACCGTTGGGGAGCACGCTCTTCGAACAACTGCCGAGTGGTTCATCTTTGCCACCGATAAGCCTACACGCACACGTTTGGTGCGCACGATCTGCCCATCAGGTCTCAGTAACATGACCTCAGTGGGGAGGTGCGGAGCGACCTCGGGTGTTCCAGACAGTCTGAGTTCGCTTAGAAAGTGGTAACCAGCATGTTAGTATCTTGCAATAGACACTCGGGCATTTAGATTTCTCCACCTTCCTTCTGCTGCTATTGACGAAGTCATGGAGATTGCATTTACAGGACATGACTTGGAAGATGTGGAGCTACTCCCAGGAGAACGACTTCTTGACTTGGAGTATGCAGACTACATTGCCCTCATCTGTGACAGCTCCCAGACGTGCCAAGCCGCACTGGACTGATTAGCACTGGCTGTCAGCCGCTTCGGGCTTTGCTTTTCACCGTCGAAGTGCAAAGTGTTCCTCCAAGATTGGCAGGGATCGCCTCCTGCGCTGACCCTTGGTATGAATCAGCTAGAAGTCGTTCGGAAATTCAATTACCTGGGAAGTTGTATCAGCGCCCGTGGGATCGAAGACGAGATCACGAACCGTATAGCGAAAGCTCGGAGTGCTTTTGCTAACCTTCGCCACCTATGGCGGTGGCGCGACATTACTCTCACCCTGAAGGGTAGAGTGTACAATGCAGCGGTAGGTTCGACCTTACTGTACGGTTGCGAAACCTGGCTCCTAAGATCGGCGGACATGAAGATGCTAGTTACGTTCGACCATCGGTGCCTTCGCAGTTTAGCTCACATCTGGTGGGAACACCGCGTGAGTAACGAGCGTGTTCGACGCCTTGTTTACGGCACATAAAAAGGAACTGAACCGCTCAGCACCGTCATTTCACGCACCAGGCTCCGATGGCTCAGGCACGTGTTACGCATGCCAGCCCACCGACTTCTGTGACGTGCGTTGTTTGCTTGCCGGGGATGTGGATGGAAGAAGATGAGGGGTGACCGATCGATGACTTGGTCGAGAGGAATGAAGGCCCTCACTTCGGAGCTGGCCTCGCTTGGAGCGTCACGGCTCCCTGCTTGGGGTCCAAAAGACGGTGAACACGTTTGGTTGAATACACTTGCTGATATGGCTAGGAGCCGACCTCAGTGGCGTTCGTGCTGTGAGTTTCTTTGTCCGTCCCCATCCCTTGTAGTCTCCCCCACCACCTACTATCTCATTTCGTAGCGTAAAACATAATAATTTTTCTTGTTGCCTAGTAGCCGGCAGGTGGTTTATCGGAACGATGTCTATCCGTTGCTGGTAGCTCAGCTGGCATGCAACTGTTGTATTTATTTTCCTTTTCCTTTATGTATTGCGGCACAGTAGCTGAGGTGTTTCCCACCTCTAGCCAACGTGTATAATGATGACGATGGATGCCTACGTGCGTTCCCACATCGCATAGGCTATTCAGGCTTGGCGACCCTGGCTACAGCGTGACCTCACATCACTAGAGACCTCACAATGCCGGACAACGGAGGATGCTAAGTGTATTCGTCACCTTCAGTAGCAGGAACGGCTAAAGAAACTCCGGGTGTTTAGTGGACGCTCTTGGCGGCTACCCTGTGACCTCGTAACATATCAAATACTGAGTTGTCCCAATTGCTTATGCCGCCACCTATTTTATTTCATCCCTAACTCTAAGCTGTGAGTTAAAGTAAATTCACAGAGTTGTGAAACACTAGTCGGTCTGACACAGAAATACCCATGAGTAAGATTGAGCAAGAAGAGCTCTCTCGGATGTCTAACAGAAAAACCGGCAAAAACCGATTTATATACAAAACCTTCCGAAATCATGAGATACCAGTCGGTTCCAAGCAAATTCCGAGGTATTGAATCATGTGGGTTTCTCTCGAATATTTATCCTGCTACTTTCCTGAAGGGACTGACAAGTTTTTGCCTATTCTAAACCAAACTATTTCACGTGCGTGAGAGTCTGAACCACTATTCTGACTATGCTTATCAATGGAACTCACTAAGCACATGCGGCTCAACCAACTGTCATCACACTTCACTCCTTAATTGAGACCCTTCAGCTCTGGACTCCTCAGTTTCTATCTAATTAGTACAAAACACCCATTTCATCACCCTTCTCATCTTAGGTAGTGATCTTTGTATTCACGCTCCTTATTTTTTAAAGATAATTTAGGCTCGTCTGATGCTGCTTCCAAGTACCTTTTTTCCACTATTCTTCCTTGCCCAGATGATACGAAGGGTTCTCCGCAACCTTCAGCCCCATCACTTGTCGATGGAAACAAACAGACATTACGGGTCTCTTCTTCTGTACCAGACCTCACGGTCACTCTGCGTCAGATGTCCAAGAGAACCGATATCCGCGATTTCGACTGGAACACCGGAACATCAAACGGAGATGTTACGCTACACACAAAAGGCAGGCGAAAATTAGAAAGGGAATCGATTGAGAGAGAACAGCTGGAGCGAGTATTTCGTCAGCTGCACTCTGTTCAAAAGCGGCCGCCGAAGAAACGAGCAGATACAAAACGCTTTCCTGCTAGGACTCCCAAACGAACTGCTTTACTTCCGATATCGGATAATGAAGAGGTGGTCGCAGAGTTGTCACAACTATCGCCCGACTCTTTACCCGATAAAGTCGGTAAATGTTTGGTGCATTCTTGACTCCTTCAAAGCCCTCTGTTCTCTGAAAAGTCTACTTATGTCGTTTTCAACTTATTTTCTCTTACTACAATGAACGTTGTGTCCAATTTTATGCGTCCAAACAAACTAGTATCGCCCTTGGGATGCGTGGGTTTGCTAATTGAGAAAGGACAGAAGTGAAGTAACTCGAAATCTCCAGGTTTCCACTTGTGTTATACCGGTATCATCCTCATTGTCACGGTAGCTAAGAATGCCTTTGCAAAACATCCAACCTCGCTCATGCGTTTGTAACCTACCGGTGCTTACTGCCAGATCTTCTGGCTTCTGTAGGGAAAAACGCTTAGTGATCTTCATATACACCTGGCGTTGTACCGTTTGCATAAGTTGTCCAGTTGCTATTTACGCTTCCAACAGCTTATTTTGAGTAGCACATTTCGGAAATGTTAACTTCAAACAGAAAAACCGGGATGAATCTGGGTTTGTTGTCTTTCTTGGTATATACCTTACGATCTGACCCGCTTATGTCGAACGCTCTTTCCAATTTGGCGCGATTGCCACGATAATGCTCTTACATACCAGTACATCGATTCTTATTCGAAAGTTTTCAGTCTAATTACATTCGATTTTTATCTCGCGTTGCTTGGGTTTGCAGCATTTAAGACGGTAACGCTGGTATTAAGCAAGGTAACTGGATTTGTCACTGCTAAACTAAACCTTACAGCTACTGCAGCGATAAATTAATGTCAACATTACCTTCACCTGTTCAGAAGCACCAGGAATGCATCTGCAATTCGAATCCAACAGGAATTGGCCATACAGCCACGGAAATGATTGCTCAGTGACTTGTGCGACTGACGATGGCAGTGAAAATACTATTTTGCCATTCCGATAGAAGGGAACTATAGTCCGTTGCTTTACAAGGCTAACGATGCTTCTGTGGCTAGGTTTATATGCGACAAACCTGTTTGGGTTTCCACTTTTATGTAAACGATCTGCCGTATTTTTCGCCGTGGCTTCCGACTCGTATAGTCCTCTATATGCCTGGAATGGCACTAGACCGTTGTCTCACCTCTTGTTTCTCGTCAGTACTGCGCATCCATTAGGATCCGATCCCATGACCACTGTCGGCTTAAATCGCCAGCCAGCAGCTTATGACAATTCATTGTGGGTGACATCGGCTGATTTACAAGTGTCTCATCCTCCAGTGTCACACAAGTTACAAAAGTTGCAGAGGACAAGATTGGTCCCGAGAGGCCATCCTCTGTTGTCTCCCATGGCTCGGTAGCATAAACTGCCGGGTGACAGTTCAAGCTGCAAGTATCTATGGGTTCGGATACTGATGGATCCGATGGGCGCGCAGTACTGACGAGACTCAACAGGTGGAATGGACTGTCTAGTCCCTTTCCGGTGAGATGGAGGACTATCTGATTTGAAGCTTACTACGATGTGCCGTTAGTGATTAACATCAAAAATCCCCTACTACTCAAGAGAGCACCGATATTTGTCTTTTTTTTTCTATTTGCGTTTTCTGCACACATGTCTAATGCTATTATCATGAGGATGCTACTGTACCCAATACTGTATCCATTACACACCGAAGAGTTTGAATTAAAGTCGAGCAATTGACCCGAAACACCTTGTTTTACGTCATATTCCCCTACCACGCACATTTCGTCCTCATTAGTTCCTATTTGTGGATTACCAAAAAAGCACATCCCCACGCTATATGTTACAATCCAGTAAGTCATTGTTTATTTGCAGATAACTTGGTTTTATGATTAGTCATGCAACAATATTTCACTATTCTTAGCGACTGTCATATTCATGTCATGAAATATGTGTGTGAACAACACGCTTCCAGTAATTTTCGTTAGGCTTGTGCTAGTATGTGTGGGATGAAATGTTTGGATGCACCATAAAGATCGTTGTTTTACCTTCATTCTTAAGTGGGTGCAAGTACTCGCCACACGTTTTGTCGCGATTGCAGGTTACGCGTGATTCCGCTGTTTAGACATCATAGTCTGTTTGGTCCAACGCATTAACCTCTTCTGAATGCACAATTCCCGTTCTTACATCGGGATCTGCGAATTCCACGTCCTCCTCATACATGTCTCACTCATGCATGGGCATAATCATTTCTGTACTAATGATCTGCCTCGACTTCAGGATCAGCCCCTCGCACAATCGAGAACTAACACATTAATATTATTAGCATGATTATTCGTCTTGTTACTACTGTTATATTTACACCCATAATCGCTATATCCCCCTTCACCTTACCCACAGGGAATAACTTGCTCTCATCCAATGGACACCTAGGGAAGCGTTCGACGTCAATGCTTCATGACGGTCAAAACGCTGCGCTGTTGCCAATCAAGAGGTCATCACGTGCTGCAAGTGGACACGGTAGACGCGCTACCAGTTTGTCAGATTCGGACGCAGACGCTGTCTCATTGTGTGAACCGGGTCATCTGCGGTATCGAATGGCTCGGTGCGCCAGTGATCTGATGATAAGTCGGAAGGCTAGTCGACTTCTAGAAATGAATCCAAATCTGTTGACTTCTTTCTGTGAGTTCAGTGTTCTATTAAAGCCGACCCGACGAATTTTGTGCATGTGTCTCACTTTTTCCAGTCCGTGTAGCAACTACTTCGCTATCATAACTGAACATGCAATTGCGGTCCCTTGTAGGGAATCAGCTGGCGTACTTTGGACGGAAGTTCACCGTCCCATGTGAATCACCTGAAACCACGAAAAATTTCTCCATATTTCAAGGCATCATGTTTAAAATCTATACCGTGTTCTAATGACTATTGTGTTACGTTGCAGATCAGCACCGTCTTTGTATTCCGTTTACTGCAACGAGTTAAATCCCAGGGGCACGGTTTTGCTCCTTACACGTTTCTCAACTTACGTAACTATGCTATATATTATTGTCCATTCTCAGAGCATGGCGACAACGCGCGTTCTCTCCGCCCAATAAAGGGCTTAATTTGGAAGTGGAGAATCATTTCTCTGAACCAAGGTGCCTATCTACTGTAGATAAAACGAAGGTTGTTGAGCCCACACTATATCGTCGTCAGTTGTCAATCATGCAGGCCGGCCGCCGTCATCCATGACTTAGTGGCACATGCTACTGGCAACCGGAAGTCATTAGGTCGAAACCCGACAGGGGTCTGAGAAACACGCACCAACGGCAAAACCTAGATGGTTGAATCGGCCGTCTGGTGCTTTTCCAGCCGTGTAAGAGCCTTCCTGACTGAGAAGAGACTGCGACGCATTACAGCTGAAAACTAAATAGCCTGCTATCCACTATCTTGGTATGTTAATGCCAAGAGAAGAGCTGAATAGCCCTACGTTAGTGTCGGCCTCCCGATCATAAATATACAACTGACAATTGCTATTATAAGAAGTTTGAACGTGGCACTGTTTATAAGAGATTAATAATACTCAGGTTAACTGAATTAAATGGAATTTTCCGCAATCAGGTCCAGCAGAAACGCTCCAGCGTATCCGAGGAGCATTCAAATGTCGTTTTACCTTTTCGACAGTAATGAGCGTTTATTCTACTTGGTGAATAGTTCGAAATGGTGAGAGAAATTTTGAGTTCAAACTTTTCCCCCTCTGGACCAACAAAAATTTATGGACTTATACTTTCAATATTTACGGATTTATAGTTTTAATATTTATGGATTTTCACTTTTAATGCCCGAACACCCCCGCTATTCTACATAAGTCTATGATGAGTCCACCAAAACACTTTCACTTATCATACAATTTATTTTTCGCAATAATTTTCATCCCACGCGACACGTTAAACATTGCTGTTCTACCCGTAGTACACTATTGTTCTATTGTTCCATTGTTCCAAATGTCAGTACTACTGACGAGTGGAAGGAAGCTAGATTAGTTGTTCAGTGTGCTTCGTGATAAACCGTTTTCACCAAATAAATTTTCCTACAAACTATCCGTGAGCAAACGGTGGTTAAATCAAGCTGCTTGTCATCGTCTCCGTCTTATTTTACTGTTTTCCAGGATACAGAGTAACGACAGTTTTGTTGTGGTTAAACCCCTTCTCTCTCACTGGAAAGTACTTATGCGTCACAGATTAACAAAACTGTCAGAATATACGTGGTTTTCTTTAAATTGAGGTTGTAGAGCACGCATTATGTGGTGAAGAGTTATCCAAGTAGAGGACCACACCTAAATATGTTGACTGTGCGTATAGAATAACACCTTTTTCTCTTGACTGGTATATTTCGGAAGGCGGTTCGATAACAGCTCACAATACTTTGTTCCTATGAACAGTCCAAACTATTGCGGAGTGGGTAATGATTGCATGCGTCCACCAAACAATATGAATTTCACATTAATCCAATTTTATACGGCAACCAATGGGTTATGGACCTTCCACTGTTGGATCATCACTCATCAGAACCCAATACAATTGATGGCTCCACTGCTGTGTTCATCATTTAGCTATCTTCCGAAGCTCGTCTACTGACAGAGTTTTGGTTGATTGGCTGATTGAGGATGGCCTCCTATTAGTCGTATTGGATTGATTTCCCATCGCCCTCGGCTCAACATGATTTACCCCTCACTAAATCCTCTTCTGACGTGGATTTCATCGTCATCAAGATCTTTCAATTTGCCTGCAAGCGGCATCGTATTATTCTCATAAATCTGAGGAATGAGTTATTGAATGCCCATACAAATTTTGCCTATTGTAAGCCACTTGTTGCATTTTGTACAACAAGGATTAATTTGGAATAGAATTTCGCTAAAGTGTGAATTCGCAGCTGCAATCTCATCCTGACTAACACTTCGCGTTGAGAACAAACTCAGTGGGGAATGGTGTGGGCTAAAGTTTAGCCTGAACGGTTCTACTGCAACCATGAACAGCTACTGTGCCATGAAACCGGATTATGCGAATCACCTACCCGGATCTCTAGTATTGTTCTAATTGAACAGAATTCCTCCACCTCTGAATCCTTGGAGTTCAAAATACCTCGGCTATCATCGTAAAGTTCTGCTAAACCTACTCTTAACTTGATTTAGGCATGCAGCCAAGTGGTTCATTTTGTTTTGTGACTTATGCAGTTTAAGTGCGTTTGCTATTAGTAGCTTTTTTGAGTCGAAAAGTCGATCTGTGCTTAGTAACGATATGGACAATTCCTCTTTTGGGACTTCCGTTACTATGTAGAGGTAAAGAACTCGTAACGATTAGTTTTTGATAGATTTATAAATCGTAGGTGCGGTAGGAACACCAACTAGTTCAACTAAGATTCAGCACATGCAGTCTGACTGAAGTATGCGTACGGTAGAGATAACGATTCAGTAACCAGCGCCGTCCTTCACATGCCATTAATTTTCAAGGCATTGAAGTACGAAGTGAACAATGAACAATGATTTATAACGGGTACAAAAGCAGGTGCTTGACATGTCCCGTAGGGTGTTTAGAGTGAGAAAAGATAGATCAAGTGATGATGGAAGCGTCACTTCGGGCGATTACAGATTTAACTGCGCTGCCGTATAAAGTGCAATCAGTATGTGCGCGCACAATGCCATAAGGGGATTGGTTGTTGAACACGTAATAAGCGAGAGAAAAAAAACTAATAGCAAGGGCAACGCTCACTCGTGTGCAACTATCTTGGGTCGACGGGATACAGAAATCCAGTTCCTACAGTAGTAGCGTTTATCAAATTGTGTGCAAGAGGTTTGGAGTGACTCATTCTCGAGTAGGGTTATGGCACTATCTACTGTCTGTTGTGCATTAGTGCCAGCATCTGGTGGTCATGGGCTGTAGCACGTAGTGTAAATGTGACAGAGTATCGTCAAGGTGTTTTTTGAAAAGGGATAGGGTGGGTGCATTAATTACATGTTCCGGGAAGGCGTTCTAAGGCTGTGACACTCGAAGGGAGAAAACGTATCGCAGACATTTCAGGCGGCTATACTGCTTGACCAGCGCAAACCGATGACTTCTTAGCAGGGCGTTTTGACTGAGTATTGGAAGGGAATGGCATGGGTGGTTTGGGTTTCTCAGGACCTGGTATACCATTTGAGATCGCCCTTCAAATGTCGATAACGTCCACTGTATATTTTGAGTCTTCAGCCTGTGTGGGTAGGGGGGGCTGGTCAAACCTCTGACACTCTTCGTTGCCCTATGTTGTGCAGTATCGAGTGCGGTGATTCGCGTTACCTTTGACTATTTGACCCGTTTCAGTAATAATGTGGGGTTAAGTCGCGCTTTCCAGACTTGGGAAGCAGCTTCGAGAAGGACGCCACCTACCGTATAAGAGGATAGGACAGTTGTTCTGTACTTTCCAGAGTGTCCTTGTCTGTCTCATTTGGTTCTGGTGCGCAATATTCCATTCTGCGCTCCGCAGCGGTACGTTTTACTGAAACTGGTTTCGTTGACACAGCAAAATACTTATTGTCGCCATCTTGGGTCAGTGCGTGTGAATGTTCCTCGGTGCGCTAGGTACTAATGTGAACCGTCACGCCCCTGTCTTCACCACGCTTTTGCTTCGACCCGTAGAATCCTGTGCGCTGTAATATTCTTCTCCGGATCATCTCGATCTGTTTTTGTTATTTTGAATGTTTTTTTCCTGGGACGTCCACCTATTCTTTTATCAATTCCTCACTTGTTGATGGTGCACACGATTTAGGCTTTTAGTTCGGAGCATTTTAAGCAAATCAACTTCATACCACCCACCCTTACTCTCTGGTCTGTTTATATTATTAACTATCCTCCGGTATCGTCTGAAAGTGATAACCGCTGACATCTCACATAATACCAACTGTGAATTGCATTAAATTGCCAACCGCGTCCGGCGGTGATGCATTGCGGCATACCATGCAGATTGTAAAATCCGCCTAATTCTCTCTGTTCCACTACTGATGAATCTAGCAGAATCGATGTCGAGTTTACCAGTCGGATGTAGTTTGCAGGTGGAAGCATCCGCGCAACTTATCAAACTATCTTACTCTGAACAATGGAACAATGGTTTTATACGGGTAAAATAGCTAATGCTTAACAGGTCCCGTAGGATAGTCATGGTAAAACTACACAATATATAAAAAGTTGTTGGCAACATTGGGTTTACACCGATACACTCATTGAAGTATACGTAGTGCAGACTGTAAAATCCAAGGTAAATCCATAAGAAATAAGGACAAATTGGATGTTTGTGAAAAGCCTATCTCTTCCTAGTCTACACTTACAGGTGAAAAAGTGGAACGAAATGTGAGATTTGACCGCCAGTAAAATCTATTACAGACACTTATGTTTATCCACGGGTCATTTTTCTTGTAATATGGTGCAGCGAAATAAGTGCATGGTGAACTCGGGCTTTGAACTTTTCCATTGTGGGAGCACATATGACAGATTCTGGTAGGGCATTCCACGTACGGCAAACGCATACGGAAAAGAAATTCTGACAGCATTCCAAACGGCTGTAATGCTCTGTTAGCTTGAAGTGATGGCCTCTCAAATTGCTGTTGTGACTGAGCTCTAGCAAATGGCGGCACCTGTGGTGGGGATTTCTCAAAATCTGGTAGACAGAAATGA